CCTTTAGTGTTTTGCTAGTCCTAAATATTAGCTAGCCTTTAGTGCTTTGCTAGACTTAGCTTTTGGCTAGCCTTTAGTGCTTTGCTAGACTTAGCTTTTAGCTAGCCTTTAGTGCTTTGCTAGACTTAGCTTTTAGCTAGCCTTTAGTGCTTTGCTAGACTTAGCTTTTGGCTAGCCTTTAGTGCTTTGCTAGACTTAGCTTTTAGCTAGCCTTTAGTGCTTTGCTAGACTTAGCTTTTAGCGAGCCTTTAGTGTTTTGCTGGTCTTAACTTTTAGCTAGCCTTTAGTGCTTTGCTAGTCTTAGTGTTTAGCTAGCCTTTAGTGTTTTGCTAGACTTAGCTTTTAGCTAGCCTTTAGTGCTTTGCTAGTCTTAGTGTTTAGCTAGCCTTTAGTGTTTTGCTAGTCTTAGCTTTTAGCTAGCCTTTAGTGTTTTGCTAGTCTTAGTTTTTAGCTAGCCTTTTGCTTTATTAAGTGTTTTTTTTACTTTCAGCTTCTAGCTTATAGTTTTTGCTAGCATTATCATGCTTTTAGCTTTAATGTAACATTTTGCTATAATATTTATAATAGTATAAAAATATACCAAAAGCTACTTTTTTGTACTTTCAGCTTCTAGCTAGCCCTTGGTTAGTTTTTGGCTTGCATTATAATTTTATAAGCTTTTGGTTACGTTCATTTTTAAGTCTTTTGCTACTTGCAGCTTTTTGCTACTCTTCTGCTACGTTTCGCCAAATATTTGCTGCTTTTAGCTAGTATTTTACTACTTTTATATAACATTTAAACCAAATTAACCAAACAGATAAATCCCAACCCATTTATGATTTATGATGGTTTTACTGTAATAAAATTCAGATTTTTTTGATAAATAATCCACACAATTTGAACAAAATTATTGGTTTATTAACCTAAAATTATTCCTAGTTGCAACCCTAAACCAGCTGTAAAGTGACTGATAAATTCTGAATATCTAAATATATCATTTAGTCAGTTTTAAATGTTTACAGAAGCCTTAGAAAAGGTAGAAACCCTAAAAAGCCTTTTCCTACCTGTTTCAGAGAGCAGCTGGTGCATTGTGGGTAGAACCGGGCTGCCTTTGAGCCATGCAGCAGCTGTTTGTCTATAATTAGCTGCTGCGTCCTTCCTGTTAATCTCCTCACAGCTGCTCCAATCAGACAGCTGCTCCTCGTTACCATGGTGACCTAATTAACTTGTCAATGACGGCAGAGAGGAAGAGGAGGGAGGAGGAAGGCTGCAGGTGAGCTGGAGGAACTGTTGTTTTGTATTTTATGACCAGTTTTGACCAAATTATTCTTTACAGTGAAGTTAAATACAAGATAATTTATTATCAAACATGTCTTGTCTATTAAAAAAAAAAAGATAAAAATCAATTTTGACTTCAGACATTAACTGGATGCTAATGCAAAAGCTGGGTGAAAGCTAGCTGAAAAAGTTAAGTGGAAAATGCTAGAAATACGCACTAAGGTACCAACAAGCTAACTAAAAGGAGCAGAAAGC